GCTGTGAATCGATGGTGGGATGAAAATGGCGAACCAAACAGCACCTAAGTTGCAACGGGGACGTCTCTTGAAGATTGGAAACACTGGCAAGGAGTCATCTGGCACCCAAAAACATTTTGTCTCTTCAATTGATGTATCTAATCGTTGAATTAAATCCATGTACACTTGCTAAAGAACCACTTTTCCTGTTTTCTATAAACTTGGTTAAATTAGCACCTTATAGAGATCTCTCTATAATAAATTAATAAATTAACTTTAAAAGGACACTCCTCACGCCAAACACCATACCAAAATTCCAAAATGTAGCCGAAGAAAATCTACGTCATCCAGACACTTCCTCCCTACAAGCTGGGCCTACGTACATTCCTTCCAACCGATCCAACGGCCCACTCTCGTGAGACCCAACCCAACTACACCTGCGTGCAAATTTCGGAGCTCTACCATTAGGCCCAGCTGGCGTATCAGCCGAGCTGGAGTCAGGCCTGCGAATGCACACAGGCCCACGTATATATTCTTTTCCAAATAAATCCTAGTTCCGCCCGGACAGTCGGACACCCACGATCCAATCGCATGTGACTATTTTTACGTACTTTCCAAAGAAAGATGTCCCAAATCAAGAACTGGCCGGCCACTAGGTGCTGTAGTAGTACAGTACTTGAGAGTACTACGTCCGTCTGAAAAAAATATTACTTTTTTCTTAGTTAATCTATCTAAAATCTTATCAAATTTACAAAAAAATAGAACTATTTATGGCACAAACTAGATATACTATAGAATTATATTCAATGACCAATCTAATGGTATTTGTTTGGTATTGTAAATATTAACAATGTCTATCTATATTGTTTTGACACGGTGCCATGCTAAAATTATCACTCTCTCTTTTTGGGTCGGAAGGAGTGTTACTAAAATCATGCCCATTTGGCGTTTGGAGTAGGGCTGTAGAGCAACAACGTACAGAGTGTCATTCTCAGGCAAGTGGATGGACGGGCGTTGCACAGCGATACTCGTGGATTACGCAGGGTCCTGGTCTCCTGGACGGCTTGCGTTACGTCGACACAGCTCGGAAAAGCGGTGGGCGGGCGGGTTGGGGCCGTGGAGGAGAGACACGACGGGACAGCGTGTGTGCCGTGGGGACGGGGCCTGGGGCACGTTACGCTGCCGCCGCCGTGCCCCCCACGGCCGCGACGCCACGGGGACACGGCCCGCCCCGCCGTCGCCTCTTTTCCCCTCGGCCGCCGGGCCCCTAGATTGCTGATTCGCCGGGAATCGCGTGTAGCGCGGGTGGTAGAGGCTGGTGGCTGCCTTTCTACCGGCCAGTGTTCGAGCCCTACTCGACACTGGTTTCCAACCGAGGTTTTCTCCCACTCTGGGGCGTGCCTTTAGATTATAAGAGAATTTTTTTTTTGCGCCCTTTCTGCATCTAAGATGGCAATCTGACTTTCGTTTGTGCTTTTGATAAGAAAAATCGTGAGGCATATATTTGGTATTAAAAGATTCATCTCACGATTTGGCGTGGGTTAATGTGTTCGAAGGAAATGTGTGTGTTTAGTTTTTTAATTTCATACATTTAATCTTTGCACTACTACGTGAAGATGCTGATTCGTGCAGTAAAAAAATTGAATTGATTGGGGAAACTAAACAGGGCCTGGTATCGGTCTATAGATTATAAGGGAAGGCAACGCGCCCGTCGCTAACAAAGCTATGTTTTTGTAAATATCTCGTAGGCATATATGTACGGTAGTATAAGATTCTAGGTCTAGCATATAACTCAGCGCGTGTTTAGTTGAAAGGAATTTTAGAATTTGGAGAAATCTTTGAATTGGATTCTATGTTTTTTTTTTTTTATTTGTCAATTAGTGTTTAATTATGGACTCAAGAATTAGGCTCAAAACGCTAGTCTCGCAATTTCCCACCTCTGTAATTAGTTTTTTTTCGGATCTGAAAGACATTTAATACTCTATTTATCAAAAGACATATTACAAAGATTTGATGATGAAAGATTATAAAGAATTTTGAAAAGTTATTTTGAATGGGATTCTATGTAAACACGGACTCAGTGGCGTGGGTTGGTGTGTGTCGAGTGTGTACGTGCGTGTGTTTGGTTGTACTTTCCGATATTGCAACCTGTACTACTAGAGCTGAGGAATAAAAAAAAAGATTGCTGATTCGTCGATACGAGTAGCTTTTCTCCCTCGATAGAGAAGAAAATTTGAGGTGGTATCAGTTCTGGAAGGAATCTAGGCACCGAGCACAGCGACAGTGATATCCCTTTTCTGCCTTTTGCCTGCTCTTCTTTTTTCTTCTCTGGGATTGGGTCTGGGCGATCATGCCCCCGAGGCCACCTTCGTCGTAGCTGCCGGAGCCGGGGAGCCGGGGAGCCAGGTTGGGTTGGTGATTTTGTTACCAGTTGTTGCATTGCATATCTGCATCTGAAGATGGCGGCCTCCTCATCTGACTCGGTGCCTGCTCGGAATGTGCTGGTTTGGATCAGACGGCGGCTCTGCGATTGGCAGGTGCTCTTTTATATAGGGCCCGTGATCTGTGTTTCATTGGATTTTGAGATTCTTAGAATCTGAATATTGGAATCCTTGTTTGAATGGGATTCTATGTATTCTTTTTTTTATGGGATCTAAACGGAGGCTTAGTTGGAGGGCGAAATAAACTCTGTTAATGGTTCAAGAAGGAAATGTCTAGTCAACAACCGGTTGCTTTAGCCCCTTCTATTTACTAATTTTTTCTCATACAATTACACTGTCTTATTACTATATTTACAATGATTTCTTCAGTATAATTTATTGAAAAGAGTGATGTAATTTCGGAATAACACAAATATATGCCAATTTTTTCAAAAAGATTTACAAATTATTTCTATGAATTTCAAACATCAGAGAAATATATATTAAATTATTCACAAATTCTTCATAAATTAAAAAAAAAACAAAATCCACACAAGGAGGTGAGAGAGGAGAGATTGTCGTAGGTGTTCCGTTTCGCGTACGGTGTGTCGGCAGGACACGAGCACCGCAGCAGGATTGATTGCTTTGACCTCCGTCAGCAGCAAAAAGCGGACTTTAAACTTTCTTATAAACATTAACGACTTTCACTTTTATAGTTCCAGACGTATCGTATGCACGCACGCACCAGCATGATCATAGGCGGGAGGAGCCCGACCCTTCCGCATCGCACGGCCTAAAAAACGGTGGATAACCATCAGCAAATCAACCGATTGATTATTAGCCTTTCTCTGTTCGAGAAAGGTGTACGGTGACATGATAAAATGGCAGTGACACGAGGCGCCATTAGCGCTGCATCAGTGACACTCCAAAACTGGCGCCATGGTCCTAAATGCATCTCCATGTCCTAAATAAATGTCGCAACAGAAGGATAAAGGCTTACTCCGTACTGGTTTCGTTTTCTTTTGTACGAAGAAGCTGGAAGGCAACGGCAGCACTGCAGCAGGCGCTCCCGTGATCCGATCGTACAGCTACCTCCGTCAGCAGCGTATCTCTAGCGGCATCATCACACTTGTGATCGAAGTTTGCGAGCCGAGTAGTAGTGGGCTCGTGCTGGGGTGGGCAGCGGCAGCTAGCCGGCAGGACAGCGCAAGCAGGGCGACATGCCAGTGGTTCGTGCAGCGCGGTCTGCCTTGGCTGCCTGGACCACAGCATTCTGGTGTTAATATCATTAAATGATTCTAAAAGTCCTTGAATGCTCATTATAATCTATTCCCACCACAAGTATAGCTTTCATATTCCTCTTCGATATCTTTCTATATTATTCCATTAGAAATTTTTCTAAAAAATCGATTGGTATTTATCGATTTCATTTAAATATAAATGATGAATACTAAAAAAATTATACAATTAAACTTAAAATTTACGGCTTATAACGACGATTGCCACCAACCCAGCCCAGCCTCACTTCACTCCTCCATGTCTCCATCCATCTAATCCACCTCTGGCTCAGACCAACCTCACGTCCTCACGTCGGACCAACGGACGCATGCACGTACTGACACTGCGACGCAACGCAACCCGTCTGCCGTGCCGGGCCTGAGATCGTCGGAGGTGTGATCACTGCCTCTGCTTGGGCTCTCCGAGTTCCGAGGCCGCGCCGGCGCGTGCGTCGCCGTCGCCGTCGCCGTCTCCGTTGCGTGCGCGGACGGACGGGGGATTCTTCAATCCGTCGCATCCGCGGCGTGCGCCTGTCTGTCGCGCAGGCGCAGCAGCCCGCGACGAAAGTGAAGTGACCCACGAGGCCACGCCATCGGATGACCTGAGCAGCTGAGCTGAGAGGAGGCCCTGCCTAGCGGGCAGGGCAGCGGCGCGGCGCAGGGGCGGCAGGGCAGGCCGGGCGTACGAAAAGCAGGGCACCCCGCCAGCTACGACCTGCGTCACCGTACCTCTAGGCTCTAGGCCCTAGGCCCCTAGCCTACGCTGCGATGACGACGAGTACTCTGGGTCGGTCATGTCTCCGGCACACGGAAGCCTGCGATGCGATGGCGATGCTGCGAACAATTCCATGGCACTGTGCCTCAGTGCTCACTGCCCTGCTCTGCTCTGTCCGACTGAAGGATTCATCACGAGGCAAGGCAGCGAGATCATCCAGGAGTACAAAAAAAAAATGCAAATGTGTAGGAGTACGTAAAAAGCGTGGTAGACCACGGCTTGCGCAGTTGGCGAGCGAGGCTAGATTCATGGCTCGTCTCGAAACCAACGCCGTAAAGGGATGATCGCATGGACAGACAAGCCTAAAAAGATCTCCTTCGATTCTCTGCCGGGCCGATTCATGGAGACACAGTCACACAGGAGCAGACGAGGAGGATCCGGTGCCGTGCGTGCGTGCCAAGAGCGCACGGGTAATGAGAGTCGTGCCGTCGTCCTCCTCTCTCGCGCGAGCTGGAGGCACTGAGCGTCCACCTCTCCTGTCCTGGCCGGCCGGGGACGTTCTGGAATGTTTGCTTCCACGCGCCAACTGTGTCGTGCCCGTACGGAACGATGGCGATCGGGGGGTTCGTCGCGTCCGCCGGCAGCCGGCTCGTTCACTGTCTGACAACCCATGAAACAGAGCAAGACACTGGTAATAGTGCAGTAACAGGAGCCTGCATTTGGTTGCTGCAGGAGCAGACGAGCAGGAGTACGTTCATCATGCATGCCAGTTGCCAGCCCGGTGGCCGGTCGCCGAGGCAGCCCGTGCGGCTTGCCGGCTTGCATGCGCAAATGTCAACGCCACTCCAGTTTCCAGCCAGCGGCTCGCCAGCTGCGGCCATTGAAGGCCTGCCTGGGCAGCCACGGCGCGAGTGATGAGGCCCCTCGTGCGTGCGAACGCGAACGCGAAGCCCCGGCCCCGCCCCCGCCCCCGGTGTCGGGACAGGAATTGAATCGGAGGCAGGCAGCACAGGCCGGCCGGCACCCCTCCCCCGTGCGCGCGGTCGCGTCTACGCGGGCTACGGGGGTGCCGGGTGCACGCACGTGAGCGCGCGCGCCGTAGCGTGGAAGGACGGCCGGCCGGCAGCGCATCTACGCCGCCCGTCACGTCGAGCGCCGAGGAGGGGCCTGGGACTGCGGAGCCGCGGAGGGGAGGGACAGAGCGAGGGGGGCAAAAGATCTTGCCCGTCACCCGTACGCGCGCACGGGGAACGGAAATAGGGGGGACGGCAAAGAGCGTTCCGGCCCGGCCCCAGCAGACGCACGCACGCACGCACTGCGCTCTGTGGCCACTAGCGAGCAGACGAGCAGTACTAGTAGCATGGAAGATGCGCCGCTGGCCCGCTGCCGTGTGCCGTAGCGCGATGCGACGGTGCTGTCTCTGGCGATCCGTTCATATGGATTCTCAGGGCAGTCATGTATACCTACTCATTTCTACAGACACTGTATAGAAAATTATGGTCTCAGTAGATAGTTTTTATAAAACAATTTCTATCTAATTACATAGATTCTCTCTCCATTCTTTATCAATCACATCTATTCATATTTTGGCTCTCATGTAAACATTATTTATAACTTAGATCTGATTTCTATGATTTTTCTCTCTCTCATCGATAACTATCTTATCACATCAGCTAAATACTTAGGTGACAGTATAATTAATCTCCGTATAAACTACGGCTGTACTGGGGGTGCCCTCGATGCGGCTCCATCACAAGGGCCCGTGCCGAGTCGTGCGCCGCGCCGCCGCGTGCGTGCGGGGTCTTCTGCCTGCTGGTACGGTAAGTTGGTAGGAGTAACAGCTACTACTCCGTAGCAATCGTCGTCCGTGACATCATTATTAGGCGCTGATGACGTGCCTGCGTGCAACGTGGTAACGAAAGCTCGATCCATGCGGTTTTGATCCTAAATACGTGCGGCCCGGACGACGCGGAACAAGAGATCCTACTACCGGTGCCGCTGCTGTAAGCATCCACGAGTTCAATTAGGTGCTCATGTGATTCGGCGCTAGCCGCTAGTAATTCTTCTTCTCCAACAAATAAATCCCAACTGATACGATCGTCCATCCATCCGGTCCGTGAACCAAGTCCGCTGAGTATGTACTGTTGGCCGACTAACCGGAGGAGGTTTGCTAGTAGTACTACTCGATCATACACCTTGGACGTACTGTACAGGCAATCAGATCTGTCCCCTTGGACGTACGGGGCTTATAATTAACGCAAATACTAACAATCCAGATTCCAGAGCACACACACACACGCTCCATTTGTTTACTTGCTCTTGCTCGTCACTTCTGCTGCTGCCGCGGCTTTACGATCGCTTTGCACAAAGGCAGCCGAGCCGATGGGCCTCCTTTAGCCGAAGGCGACGGCGACGACGTGTGTGCCCTTTCCTTTTGCCTGCCAATCGTATAATTGTAGACTCTGCCATGCATCAAGCGAACATATGCCTGCACAAATGCACATCCATCGATCCATCCGTCAGGCGCTCCATTGATCGCTTGCCGGGACTGGTCAAAGCCATGCATCGCTGCGTAGCGATGGCCGATAGCGACGCCGCCATGTGAGGTTTATCTGTGTGTGTGTGTCTATATAAAAATTAATTAATTAACGACGACTCGCGTTCCGCCGTGTTATTCTGACAGCGACTTCGATCCTCGTAAGTGCTTGGCCATTGCCTGCCTGTTGCTTCCACACATGCATGTGCCGGCCGGCCAACGACTATATGGTGTGGTGGCTATATATTCCATCAGCTTCACATTGTCAGTTGTTGACGTCGAAAATGATTCGAATCAAACATCAACTGGCCCTTAGACGTCCGGGCCGCTATAGACCGAAGAACACAGCAAGATGTCACACTTTCGTGGTGAAGAACGGAGAGGTTTACAAACAAATCACCAAAGAATAATCAACGTACTTACGTGATGAAGAATCGCCTAGTTTTTAGCCAAACTAGCAAAGAAATCGTCGAAGCTCTCGCCCGGAAGGGCAAGGACGTCATCGGGTTGCCCTAGGTCGACCAGCAAGCCTAGGGCACCATCCTTGGTCGTCGGATTCAGAAAAACAGTATGAGAGTTGGAGAAGAGAATAAAAGGGCTGGAGTACAGGTAGTATATTGATTTGTTTGACGATTGAATAGATATGAACTCAAGATTGATTTGTTATCCCATAGAAAAACTAATGTGGTACTATTATTATGTGAACTTAGATCGGCTAAAATTATCATGGCTATTTAAATTGTTGGGGTAGAGGTGGTAATTATGCCCATATGTAATAATAAACGTATAATGTGGCCAGCTTAGTCATCTTATTGGTTCAGACAACGCCATGATGGGTTTTTGTTGCTACTCGTGCAATCAAATGGAAGGAAAAAAAAACTGATGAAGTTTTCCCTAAAATGATTAGACCAGCAAATTGTCATGGGCCTATTTAAATTAGCTAAGCAAGGGTCAAATTGCTTAAAAAGTCAAAGCGTCAACACTAATACTAATAAAACCAGGCAATGATGGTCTCGCCCTGATGGCAGGCTGTGGCAAGCTTAGTCATCTTGTTTGGTTCAGACAACAGCCATGATGGGTTTATTGTTGCTACTCGTGCAATCAAATGGAAGGAAAAAACTGGTGAGTGTTACTCCCTCTATCCCTAAAAGAATGAATTCCATACTGGCTAGCATTCCTCGCTCTTTAAGGCAGATTAGTAAAGAAGATGAGAAAGACCATGTTGCAATCCACTTCAAGGTCTCGGCATTAAATCACCGAGCCCCTGAATCTTAATAGCTCTCGACTCTTTTCACCATTATCGTCAGTGTCTTTGGAGCACCCAGCCTAATTAAGTAGTGTCCGATAAATTTGGACAAGTATCCACTAAGAGTAAGCTACAGGAGGACGACCTCCACTAGGTTGAAACACATGTATCAAACGTCCCTCCAAACTATAAAAGGGAGATCGGGGAGATTAATGTGGAGCTCATGGAGATGGACCACTCTTCACCTTCAAAAATCGATTCTTTTGGAGACGAAATTTTGGCCTAGAAATTGAATCAAGATCGATTCAGAGATTGAGTGGAGTAAAGTAAACGTGTCTCTTTGCATTCCGGGATTAGGAGTTACATTACTAGTTTGTTACCTGTATGGAAATTAATAAGTGCTAAATTTTGAAGTAGATCATAATGAGTATCATTGTTAGCATGCAGTTAGTAGGTTGTACTAAACCATATGGAGACTACTTGTGGAATCAAAGGTATCGATTCTTTTGGAGATGAATTTATAATTAAATTAAATAAAACTACTAAGATACCCTGGATCACACATCCACTCATTTGAATCAGACGAAAAAAACTAAACAGTTTTTGGAATCTCGTATTATTATAATTAAATTAGAAAACTACACTAACCAAGATATGTATCATCACCTTGTTGGTATCGTCTCAGAGCTTCAAAGCGAGCTATGTAATTAGTTTTTTTTATTTACTTGCAACCGAAACATCTGACGTGACATCCAAAATTTTTCATTTCGCGAACTAAACACACCCTAAACGCGACTCCTTTTGACTGGGAGTTACTACTACCGTTACCTGTATGGAAATTAATAAGTGCTAAATTTTGAAGTAGATCATAATGAGCATCATTGTTAGCATGCAGTTAGTATGTACTAAACCATATGGCTACTACCTGTGAATCAAAGGTATCGTCTTATTATAATTAAATTAAATAAAAACTACTAAGATATGGATCCACATCCACTCATTTGAATCAGGTAACATTTTACTCGTCTTATTATAATTAAATGAAAACTACTAAGATATGTATCATCACCTTGTTGGTATTATTATCTGCCACTCCGGTGCTTACCTAGGTGTGGCACATTGGCAGCTTTTACAAAATAATAAACTTTTAAGAAATGGAGTTGCACGTGAAATGGGAGAGAAAAATGAAAACTATGAGATTTTTAGGTTCCGAAAAGTACCAATCTACTATTTTTTTTTGATAAATAATTCCGATAACTTTGACGCACATTTCCATATAGGCCCAACAAATATACACATAAATTCTTTCACTACAGTCCTTTTATCTAGCAACTACCGCGTCTAAAATGAATACGCGCCTTTTGTGTCACTAGCTAGACATAACTCTAACTCTCTAAGCCTTTTCCTTTGGGGCCTGCTTGATTTATAGAATTCAATTGAATTAGAATCATATTGTTTGGACAGCCTATTTTGGTAGAAATGACAATTCCAAATAATCCCATTGAAGCCCACAACACCCATGTAAGATTCTTGGCCTGAAAAATGGAAAGGATGATTCCGTACTTGCTCTTGCTGCCCATCATGTCCTCCGAAGCATCAGACACTTGTTTTGTAATCGAACAACGACGCCATCAGCACCGCGGAAGGAGAACTATCATATCGAGTATGCATGCTCAAAAATACCGGAAATTTAAGGGACCTAGGCCTTGTTGGTTTCGCTGAAAAGTTATAGGCTCATAGCTGAAACCACTGTTTATTGATTTATTGTGAGAGAAATATTGTTCGTTCGCTGAAATAGTACGGCTCATAAGACAAACGAACAGAGCTGTTAGAGATCACCGATTTGCAACAACGGTGAGTGATAAGGTCATAATATGATCATACGCACCCTTAAGCTATGTACACCTTCTTTTGTGTCACTTGGAATATTTGAAAGAAAAGTAATGGCCGCCTCCCACCATGCTAGTTTATATGCTGTCAAATGTTGCTATAATGGTCAAAGAAGATATTGCTATAACGGTAAAAGAAGATATTCTGCAATGGAGGCGTGCATTTCTAAGCTGTTACCGGAATAGGACATGTGTTTCTGTGAGCTATTTGTGACCAGCTTTTTAGCATTGTGTTTTTCCTTTTAAGTGCCGTGGACATGGAGGGCCCTCCTCAGACTGGCTGGCTGGAGTTCCATGCCGCTCAGCGCTCTTGTACAAATTTGCTTTCGAGCTATTGGTCTCGTTAGAGTCGCTGAAATTTAGCTGAATTGGCTAAAAAATACTGTTTTGATTGAATTATCGTGGGAGAAAAATACTGTTCCAAAAAAAAAAATTAAGTTGAATAGTACGGATTATAAGGTAAACCGAACGGGGCCATTATACATTCGTACTCTATAAAAATCAGGCTTGAGTTTGATAGTTATGGGGTGGTTCATAGCTACTTGTTGACAAACCATAAATCCTGTTCAAAATTTATAACGACAGTTTCACACGTGCAGAAATCCATTAACTCTTGGCATGGACTTATAAAAAAAACCGTTAACCCTCATCGGGCATTGGAATAGTTTTTTTTTCATATATACGTCCTGTTCGCTTGGTTTATAAGTCGTATTTTTTCAGTCTATAAATAATAATTTTCTTTCACAACAAATTAGCCAATAGTATTTTTAATCATGCCTTATCAGCCAAACGAACATGGCAATAGATTGTAAACCGAAACATTCATTATTATATCTGTTTGGATTGAGCAACACATATATGTTCATAGCACACAAAATATTGTAAATGCTCACTGATGCACTATTATGGCGCCGTTCGCTTGTCTTTAATTTGACTTGTTCGACTTGTTTTTTCAGCTAGAACAGTATTTTTCTCTCACAACAATTCAGCCGGAACAATGTTTTTCAGTCAGTTTCAGCCAAAGTTCAGACCAGCGAACGGCCTATATGAGTGTTTAGTTTCTCCTCCTAAATTTTAGTCGCTGTCTCATTGAGTGTTTGGACATATGCATGGAGTATTAAATATAGACTAATTACGAAACTAATTGCACAGTTTGCAACTAATTTGCAAGACGAATCTTTTAAGCCTAATTAGTTCATGATTTGACAATGTGGTGCTACAGTAAATATATGCTAATGACGGATTAATTAGGTTTAAAAAATCATCTCGTGGAGTATCAACGGATTATGTAATTTGTTTTTTTATTAGTATCCGAATACCCCATACAACACTCTTATTTGATAGCTCCTAAATTTTAGTCACTGGATCAAACACCCCCTATAACGGGTGGTTATCGATATAGCATCAAATAAAGGTGACCTGATAACATCAAAATAGTACCATAGTGTGTATGATGACCCATTTCGAGGCGTTAGATGTTCTTCCCATGATCTAGCATGCTTTTTGGCGCATATTTTTACACTCAGGATCTCTCGGACACTTGTACGTGCACATAGACCGTAGTCCATCCACACACGCAAAATAAATAGAAGCCGCGGAACATTTTTCAACCGTATATTCGAGATAAACCAGAAGCATACTCCTAGCTCAAAATAATTTACATGTGCATGCCTGCCTACCTGGTGCTTTCAATCAAAAGGCCACAAAATCCTCCTGTTTTCCGGTGGAAAGGAAAAAGAAATTCGCGAGTATATAATGGAGAGAATTATCCTGAAAAAATGACACTCGTTCCTTTATTGACTTAAAATTTTCTTCGTTCCCTATTTGACACTCACTTTAATTTTTATCCCTAATTTGACACTACCGTCAAATTCGTTATTAATAACGAAGTGTTGGCGGGTCGTTTAAAAGACGTTTTGCACCTAGAAAAAAAAGGTGAAGCAAATTTGAGAGGAAAAAAACTGCGCCGCCTTTGATGCATGCTACTTTTGCAAAAAAAAGGCGATGTTTTTTCCTCTCAAATTTGCTTCACCGCTTTTTTAAAGCAAAAACGTTTTTTGTACCCGCTAACATTATCACTTAACGGATTTGTGGTAATGTCAAATTAGGGATGAAAGTTGAATTGAGTGTCAAATAGAAAACGAAGAAAACTTCAGGACCACAAAAAAGAACGACTTATTTTTCAATGTCAAATAAGAAATTCTCTATATAATGCGGGGAGGCGAGGAAGAAAGGTTGAGAGCGTGTTTAGTTTCCTGAATTTGGGAATTTAGGTTACTGTAGCACGTTCATTTTTATTTGGTAAATAGTGTTCAATCATGGATTAATCATGAATTAAATTATTAGCTTTTTCAAAATATTTAATATTCATTTAACGCGCAAGATTCATATAACGATATTGTAACTTTTTTTGATTTTGGGCAGCAACTAAACACGCGCTGAGAGAGGAGCAGCAAACAGGCTGCAGACAGCAGGGGTGCCAAAAGCAGGGGAAGGAAGAGCGGAAAAGCCCACCACCACCACCTTCCTCGGATCCGCAACCCGGACGCCCCACTCGGGTCCTTTCTTCCTCCCTCCCCAGTCCCACCCCCCCTTCTCGCACCTCGCAAGCATTTTAGTCTTACTCTATTCGAGCCCTACCAGTGGCAGGCAGGCAAGCGAGAGGTGGTGGAGGAGCGGACGGAACCGTCGCCTGCTGCGGCTGCCTGCGAGATCTAGGCGAGCGAGCGAGCGCGCGCGCGGCCATGGGTGCTCGCTGCTCCAAGCTCTCCGTCTGCTGGTGGCCTCCCCACTTCAAATCACCGATGCTCGGTACGCGCCTACCGCACATTGCCACCACCGCTGCCTCTCCCTAGGATTCTCCGTGTTTTTGTTTTCTCTCTCCTCATCACACTCGCCGCGCCCCGCGCCCCGCGCCTGATTCTTCTGTTGTTGGGGGCGGCGGCGTCGGCCCGGCATTTGGGGTGTTTTTTCTGCTGCGGCTTTTCAGGGGTTTCTGCTGTTCGTTTCCGCGTGCGTGATTTCGCGCTTCCGTTTGGTGGGATGCGGCCCCGTCGATCTCGCTCGAACTGTGGCTCCGATCCCATCCGTTCGATTTGTTCGCACGCGCAAGAGCGATCCGAATCGTGGTTCGCTCTGGCCGGCGGCCGCCTCTTGCTCCGCTGATTCCTCACGTTTCTCCTCCTCTCGGTTCGGCGAATTCCGTTGCTCTCGCGAGGTTTCTGGACTTAATCGTGTTTGGTTCTCCGCGTTTCTTCGTGCACTCTCGTGGCGGAGAGCAATGCGAAGCTAACAGCGAGTGGTTTGCTGTTGATTCCGAGCGTGGTGTGCCGCTGTGTCTGTCTGGCTGTCTGCTCGCGTCCTTGGTCCTGATCCGACAGCCGTGTTCGATTCCCTGTGTGCAGAGAATGGCGCCGCCGAGGATGACGGCAGCGGCGTGCCGGTGTTCGCCGAGTACAGCCTCGACGAGCTCCGGGCGGCCACCGACGGCTTCGCCCCCGACCGCATCGTGTCCGAGCACGGCGAGAAGGCGCCCAACGTGGTCTACCGCGGCACGCTCTTTAGTTCCGGCCGCACCGTCGCCATCAAGCGATTCGGTCGCTCCGCCTGGCCGGACTCGCGCCAGTTCCTGGTTCGTGTACCTTGCTCCGTGTGATGGATGGATTGTTTCTTATGTTCGTCTTGGCTCTGTGGCGTCTGATTGAATGACCGTGTGTCCGTGGGTGCAGGAGGAGGCGAGGGCTGTTGGGCAGCTGCGCAGTGGTCGCCTGGCCAATCTGATCGGTTGCTGCTGCGAGAGCGGCGAGCGTCTCCTCGTCGCAGAGTTCATGCCGCACGAGACCTTGGCAAAGCATCTCTTCCACTGTATGTTTGGTTTGTCCTTCCTCACTCTTCTCTTACATTAGCGAGTTGATTCTGATGTGGTACTAGTTCGAATGTAGCATCAAGGTGATGGTATTGGGACCCATATTTAAGGATGTGTGTTTGTCACCTGTATCCAATCTGGAAGTGTTGCCTTAAATTGTAGAGTGTTGTTCAAGTTAGTTTCTGCTGCACAACTGTTTAGCTGTTTGCTTTATCTGGGGCTATTTCTGTACTTTAGGCTAACTGGAAATCGACACTGGTCTTTTATAATTAATTTTAGTCACCATATTTAAGGATGTGTGTTTGTCGCCTGTACCTCAGTACCAGTAACCACTGTGGAAATGTGGCCTTTGGCCGCAGAGGGTGGAAGTAGTTTCTAGTGCCAAATCCTCTACCTGTTTGTTGTATCTGGTGCTATTTCTGTACTTTAGGCTAGCAATAAATCGAGACACTGGTTTTCTATAGTTACTTTTAATCACCAATATTGGGTTGTGTCACTTTGTTACTTTGTTCTGGTTGGAGGTGCAGCAGTCATTCATGCCATTGATTTTTTGGCCATGTTAGAGGATATATGTAGCTTGATTTGCATCTAACCTGCAAATGTTGCTTCCAACAAATGGTACTTATTAGGGAGGATTTGAATTGCTATGACCTTTCATTTATGGACCACTCTCGGAGGGATATGGCTGTCAGGAGCTTTAAGCATTTAAAATTTTGATCTTTAAGTGGATTATATCAATCTAATGCTATGATAGTTGCTCTGTGTTAAAAAAGACGATAGCTGCATTTTATCCTCATGGTGGTTATATGTGGCAGGGGAGACAAATCCATTGGGTTGGGCAATGAGGATGAGGGCTGCGCTTTATGTGGCACAGGCGTTGGACTACTGCAGTAGCAAAGGGAGGGCACTCTATCATGATCTGCATGCATACAGGGTCGTCTTTGATGTGGTAGGTCTTTACTTGTTCGCATTAGTTGCTTCTCAGATCTTTCATACAAAAGCATTAATCCTTTTGTGTTTTGACTGTGGGCCAATTTTGTAGGATGGTAATCCAAGACTATCATGTTTTGGTCTGATGAAGAACAGCAGGGATGGAAAGAGTTACAGTACTAATTTGGCTTTCACGCCTCCTGAGTATCTTAAGACAGGTAAATGTGTCACACACTAGCAATAGTATCCCATGAAACATTTTGGGGATGTGCCTCTTTAACTGTTATCTGTTCTGCAGGCAGAGTAAGTCCTGAGAGTGTGGTTTACAGTTTGGGCACTGTCTTGCTTGATCTCCTGAGTGGAAAGCACATTCCACCAAGTCATGTAAGTTTTCCTACCCTGTGTGCTTTTAACATAGTCTACACTTATAATACATTGGCGCTATAGTGCTATTAACATATTCTAGAATTTATATAGAAATAAATTTTACACTAACCTTTTCTCTCCTTTATTTAGTTCTTTGTGTGTGAATATTTATTTTTTGCCTTTGGTATATTTTTTCAAGGGAACGAGTTGACATTACCTTTTCTTTTCCCTGTAGGCACTCGACCTTATAAGAGGAAAGAACTTTCTAGTGCTGATGGATTCTTGCTTGGAAGGTCATGTATCCAACTCCGATGGAACTGACTTGATGCGATTAGCATCCCGCTGCTTGCAATATGAAGCACGTGACCGGCCAAATCTGAAAACTGTGGTATCCGGTCTCGCAGGTCTCCAGAAAGATGCATCTGTAATGTTCTTTCTTACTATGGTCTTTTCATGTTAAAATTCTTATACCATGGTGATTCTTGAGTACGCAAATGTCCCTTGTTAATTTTTTTTTCAATTGTAAATTAGAGGTAGTAAGTCTGATGTTATTTTGTTCGAATGCACTTAGTGCATGTGTTGAGAACACAAAGGTTGTTCGTGTGTGCCATACATTCTATCTTGTTTTTTCTAGCATGTGGACTTATGTCATTATTTTTACAGTTTTCCTTGCTTAATAGTTCTAACTGAATTTTAATGCAGACTCTGTCGCACACTTTGCTGGGGATCCAACATGATAAGAAAAACTCAGATCGAGTTTCCTTATCCGCTATTGGGAAAGCTTTTGCCAGAGCAGACCTGAATGAGGTGCATGAAATATTGCTGCATGATGGATATAATGAGGACGACGCGGCTAATGCTGAGGTAAAAGAACTATTTGCCAGTTAACCTTATTCTTAGGATGTTTGTTGCTGCAACACTATTGTGCTTTACTCTTTTCAGCAAGTAACAATCCAATTACTAAAGCCATGTGATAGATAATGGGGTTGTCATCAGTGGTCTTGCATGGCCAGCTCATGTTATATACTGCTTCCCCCTTGTTTGCACTGTACTCTCTGTGATAAACAGAGAAAAAGAGAGAAGATGTTATCTTACCCCCGTTTTATACTGCTTTAATGTGATAAAATACATGTATTGTAGGGATTCTCATCAATCATGAATGCGATAAATATACCTTATCTTACTCTGTTTTAACTAAGTTAGTAAATTCTGGTAACTTGCATTGAAAATCTTACTGGTCTTGGATGTATGATAAAACAATGGCATCCATATGCTCGTCACATTCTGCATGAAACACAACTTTGAGGTTGCATTCACATTACAAATATATAATCATGCTGAGTCATAAATATTCTTACATTTGTATTTTGAATGTTGGAACTTGCAGCTATCTCTCCAGTCATGGAATGGTGATGTATCTGAGAGCTTTGTTGTTAAGAGGCATGCAGACAATGCCTTTAAGTCTAAGGAATTCGTGACTGCAATTGAGTGTTACTCAAGGGTATGCTTATATTATCATCTGATGCACACCTATAATTCTCCTTCCTATATCTGTACTTACCTTTTGTCCTATTTCAGAATGGTAGCTTTGCCATTTCATTGTATTCAGCCGCTTTTAGATTGCTTTTATTCCAACTAGGCTTTTTTATGGATTTTCAGAGTAATGGCCCAATTTTTTGTCCTCTACTGGGATGCTATGACAGTCGCTAAGTAGCATGTGTAAGGCGTTTCAAGCATTATGGTTTAGTCAGGAGGTTTTGTAGCTAAAATTGCGATGATACACCTATTGACACAGTTGTGCGAATGTCTAGGAACTATTCCCTCTTGTTCCAAATTATAAGACGTTTTGTCATTTCTAGATGCATAACTTTTGCTATGTACTTAGATGTACACTATGTCTAGATACATAATAAAAATAATGTATCTAGAAAACCCAAAACGTCTTATAATTTGGAATGGAGGAAGTAGTTCTTTGTGGTATGATAATGAAGACATAGGCAGTGTGAAGTAGTCTGTGTTGCAGGATTATGTTTTTGGCACCTTCAGGCTATTAATCTGTGGTATTGGATACTTGGCAGTTCCTCGACTCAGGCGCAGCGGTGGCTCCAACCATGCTCGCGCGGAGATGTTTCGCATATGTGGTGATTGGCAACCCCCAGGAAGGCCTTGAGGATGCAAAGAGAGCCGTGGTTATTGCATCCGACTGGCCGATGGGACACTACCTGCAGGCCATGGCACTTCATAACCTGGGAAGGGAGGCTGAAAGCCAAGAAGCACTGAAGATTGGCACTGCCTTGGAAGCTGCAAGGAATAGTAGAGCTAGATCTGTATAGCACTGAATTTGTGATACCCTGTCCTGCTTGTACCTAGATCGCCTGCATTTTGGGTGCCTCCCTCCAATGCTTTGCCACCAGTAGGGCTGTTTTTGGTATTCCCTAACTTGTATCGGTATTTCCCGTGGTTTTACAAGTCAAAAACTCCTAGGTTGGCTGTTATTACACCTCCAATATATTCATGAATACAGGAATGGGCAACTAGTTTGCAATAGCATTCTGTTGATGTGAGTTTGTAAAGTGACAGAATTTCCATTTATTTCAACAAATTCATGTATATACAAACTTTTGAACTCTGCAACTAGATATTTGAGGTCAGGCAACGTTCAACTATGGTTAATCCTTGAAGTTTGACTAGATTTATAAGAACTAGTACTGATGTTTGTATCTATAAATATGTTTGTTGTGAAAAATATATAACATGATTAATATAATAATGTCATGTATTTGATATCATAAATATTAGTATTTATATTTTTTTGTTTTTATATAGTCAAACTTAAGATTAATTGACTCCTCGAAGTATGAGATGTGCACTTAATTTCGAGACAAGCGAGCACAGAGGAGGCAACTTATTGCATTATTTTTTATTTGTGTATGTGTTGAGCAGTACTATATCTAAAGGGAGGGAGCGAATATTTTTCTCTTTCGCGTCAAATTTTGTTTTGTGTGTGGGCATAGCTGCGTGGTTGTGTTGTGTTTGCTGTCAAACTTTTGGTTTGTGTGTACAATGCGTTGTGCCCTTGGTTTGTGTCGGGTATCAATATTAGAGATATCCGGAAGGAGGCTAATGGCCACGAATAATTAACTCGCTCGACTCCGAGGGCGTGGGCTCCGTCTCGTCCGACCCCGAGGGTGCGGGCTCCGTCTCGTCCGACCCCTCGAGGGGGGAGCCCGTCTCGCTCGACCCTAAGGGAACATATTCGGTCTCAGGCGGGAGCATAGGCCACACGAGGGGGCCCACATCGTCTCCAACCACTACGGGTATAAGAGTACGGACCGGGATCAAACTTCTGACACCAGAAAGGGAGTAGGCACGTCTTGACGTGACCCGTGGCCATGACGGGCCATACTTGGGAGCTCACGTCGCCGACAGCGTCAAGCAGGCCAACACTATGCTGCCTAACCCCCCGCACGATTTCCGTCAGGGGTACCTGTTGACCATGCTGCCCGTCGAGACGAAATGGGGCGCCACAACCGGTTGACGACGCCTGCGTGTAGCGCCAGTGGCAAACAGGGTCGCGACGTGGAGCCGTCCCTATCATCATCTACAGGACCGGCGGGACCCACGTAGGGGGATGAAGGACGACGCGACCCCGGAGGCCCTCTTCCTCCTCGTTTTTCTCTCTCTCTCTTTCTTTCTCTCTCTCGTGTAACCTGTGTCTTCCCCTTCACCTATAAAAGGGGAAGCAGAACGCCCCACGGGGGGGACTGAGTTCAACTAGACTCAACTCCATTCGATTCTTCCATCAGGAACTTGGGATCTTCTCCTTCTCTCACCCGTTTGTAACCCCTACTACAAACAAGTGCCGATAACACGAGCAGACTCAAACAAGTGTAGGGACATTCTGCCCGAATCAGTATAAACCCTTGTGTCCTCTGAGCACACCATCCAGGCCAGACGCGCAAACATAAATTTACTAGTCGGCGGTTCGAAACACTGACAGTTGGCGCGCCTGGTAGGGGCCTTTTGCGTGTCTTGTCGTCCACAATAGGCCACGAATGGCTAGCCACGGCGTCAGCTAGATCCCGGCGCGCACGTGTGCTTTGGGAGCCTAGATTTCTTCATCACCGCGTCTCGTCGTCCACAACAGGCCGCGAATGGCTAGCCACGACATCAGCTAGGTCCTCGAGCTTTCCAGCCTATCGTCATGGCGGCAGTCGCGGTTGTCATAGCGCCGTTCTATCGCGGTGATCATCAATGCGACGCGATAGGCGGTCGGAGCGAATAGTCCGGGCGATGTCGTCCTTATGCCGCTGATCGGCCTTATGTAGATCAGATTCGCGGAGATCATTGACTGGTTAGAGAAATGATGGAGTAGATGGGACGTGGCCAAAGCGTGCTTGCTTTTGATAGATGATACGTAACCATGTATATGCTCCACAGTTTGAACAGATCTCTATTTCCTTGCGTCATTATGCACGACTTTGTAAATTTTGCATCTAAGCAACTTAACCGGGAAGGAATTGGTAAGGACTTGAGTCGGCCGGCCACTATTCTTGGGAGAGCTAGAGTCGAACTTGGTCGGAGACGGGACGGAGCCGGATTCGATCGAGGCGGACTATCGACCGATCTATTGGAATTCCAATCCATAATGCATGCATACATGCACGGAAGCCTGACTCCTGCATGCCTTGTAGATGTGTTTTTCCCTTGCTTGTTTGCTCAATCAGCCTGGACGTCATGATCCGCGTGTGTAGCAAATCGATCTTGAGGGGGCAACAGCAGACGAGTTGGAGATTGGAGCCGCATGATGATGATCTCAGCTCAATCTACCACGTAGCCACGAGATGTTGGGACACTGAGTCCGAGATCATCGGCAATGGAAGGATATCTCGATTCAAGATGTCAAGAGACGTGGAGTCGCCGCCGACGTTGTTGCTTGAGGTACGCCATCTGGTTCACCAGAGGATCAGCACGCACACCCCCAACCTGGCGCGCCAACTGTCAACAGAATATCGTCGGCAATCCTCCAAGGGGTATCCCACGAAGGTAGATTGATTCATAGAGGTGCGTGTAATCAAGAACAAGAAGGCAATAGAGACACAAGAGTTAGACAGGTTCAGGCTGTCTGCACGACGTAATACCCTACTCCTATGGTCTGTTGGTTTGTATTGGCTATCGTATGGTATTGCGTCTGATCCGATGCCTTAGGCAAAGCCTAGGATCCGTATGGGGATGTCGACTAGGGGACCCCTGCCCCTCCTTATATGCTCTAGAGGGGTAGGGCTACAAAGAAAGTATCCTATTTGGTATTATACAATATCTAATAAATCACATCTTCTTGTAGCCTTGCGGTGCACGTCGACCAGTGTCGTGCGCCACACGCCTTGATCTTATGGGCTGGGCCACCTCTGATGGTGTGGCCCATGTCCCTTGCCGTGGGTACCTAGGGTTAAACCCCCATAGTCATGTACTCAGTGGACCGATGGCCCCAGAGGTGGATACCTGCGTATCCCATCGGCACCGACAAGTCCCCACTTCTCTGCCTTTTCTTGTGCAGGGAGACGGAGAAGAAGTACCTCCATAGCTCGAGGTGGGGTTCGATCCCCAGATACCCTTCGCATAGCGTGATGAAGGCCGCGATGTGCTAGATCCCGTTGGGATTCAGGTGCTGCAACTCGATCTAGTAGTGGTGCAACAGTCCCCGGAAGAACGGGTGGGGAGGAATCACGAGTCCACGCTCATGGAAGGGCGCGAAGGACATGACGTAGCCATCGGGTGGCGCTGGCACCTCCTCACTACCGGGCATGAGCCACTCCACTGCCTGGGTTCTCCCATGGAGAATCTGTGCTTGACGAGGCCCTCTATGCGCGCGTGGGTGACATCAGAGCAATACCACAACTCCATGGGAAGCAAGGGTGGAGGAACGAGAACTTCACCGACGACGGAAGAGCGAGAGCAAGAGATCCGAGCGCTTGCGGTGGAGAAGCGGAGAGGATGAGGTTGCGGTTAGGCGTATCAGACGAAGGGAGAAACCCCAAGTTATAGGGGAAGGTGGAGCGAGAGGTGAACCGTTCACCTCGATCGACGCGCTTGCCGTGCCTCATCACTTCGCCTCTCCGGGAGTCGTGTGCATGCCACCCTTGGCCGCCCCCTTGAAGGGTGCACCGGACGACGGTTCGCTCCCTAGATGGGCCGAAAACCGCCACATGTAAGGAGGAATACAGAGCTGAAAATGCTCCCACGTCCCATTAAGGCCCAGGAGTTCGAAGGTTGGCCCATCGACAAGTTCACAACTGCTCCAGGGCACCTTTAGAGCTAGGGTGGTTAAGGATGGGCCCGCTAGTGGCCAGCACCTGAGCGCATGAGCGCCACGGGAATCCTGACCCACGTTCGAGTCTTGGCCAAAGCACGGTCCATGGTTTTTCCTCGAAGAAAGGCAACGAGCCCTTGGGACCGGTCGAACGGACCCGAGAACTATATGAACTAGCCGTCAGGAATCTGGAGTCGGTCACCAGCTGACCCATCCTAAACCCCCAAGAACGGGAAGCCAGGGCCCCACTCGGACTAGTCCGTTAACACCTCACCGAGCACCATGATTCGTCCATCAGGGAAATCATGGCATGGCTCAGCCCCTCCGTTTTTATCAAAAAACACTTGAGGGAGGACGACCACAAGACGAGCTGACCCCCTGACCAGACCCCTGCTATGAGCGGAGGATCGGAGGAAGTTGGACTAGTAAGGAGACCGAGTACGCGGTCGCATATCAATGACACATCAATTGGATCCTAGGGATGGATCGAAATCAAGAGAAATCTTTTTCGACCCCCCGAACCCCGCAGCTCCATACTCCCGAAGAGTCCGATCGCAACATAAAGGAATCACAACAGAAAGGAATCTACCAAGACATCCCGCGGGTTGCAAAGAGAAATCAAAGCCCTCATAGTCCTTCCGTCTGAAAAAGCCTTCAAAGGAGTATCCTACTCCTCCGCAGGCTCGGGGGCTACTGTCGGGTATCGATATTAGGGATACCTAGAAGAAGGAGGCTAATGGCCACAAACAATTAACTCACCCGACTTTGAGGGCGTGGGCTCCATCTCGCCTGACCCGGAGGGCACAAACTTTGTCTCGTCCAACCTCGAGGGCACAGGTTCTGTCTTGTTCGACCCCTCGAGGGGGGAGCCCACCTCGCTCGACCCCTCGGCGGGGGGATTCCGCCTCGCCCGACCCTAAGGGAATAGATTCGGTCTCGGGTGGGAGCATAGACCCTACGGGGGCCCGCACCGTCTTCAATCACTACGAGTATAAGAGTACGGACTCGGGATCAAACTTCTGACACCAGAAAGGGAGTTGGCACATCTTGACGTGACCCGTGGCCACGATGGGCCATACTTGGGAGCTCACGCCGCGGACAGCGTCGAGCAAGCCAACACTATGCTACCTAACCCCTCGCACGACTTCCATCAGGGGTACCTGTTGACCATGCTACCCGTCGGGACGGAATAGGGCGCCACAACCTGGCTGACGACGCCCGCGTGTAGCGCTAGTGGCGAACAGGGTCACAACATGGAGCCATCCCCATCATCATCTACAGGACCAGCGGGACCCACGAAGGGGGATGAAGGATGACGCGACCCTGGAGGCCCTCTTCCTCCTCGCTTCTCTCTCTCTCTCTTTCTCTTTCTCTCGTGTAACTTGCACCTTCCTCTTCACCTATAAAAGAGGAAGCAGGACGCCCCATGGGGGGACTGAGTTCAACTAGACTCAACTACATTTGATCCTTCCATCAGAGACTTGGGACCTACGCGCCACCATCTTTGCATCCTACGAGCCACCGCCCGCTCCACCCTTAGGTTGCTGCTACTGGCCCTGGCCCTTACTGCCAACGTCCTTGGGCTGTTGCTGCTAACATTTTTTATGGAATAATTTTTTATTGCGAGAATGATGTTTTTTATAGGACAAAGGAGTGCAAGCCTAGTCTAATCACTTCAATACAAGCCTCCTGGATAATTCTAGTAGCAAGAATTACAACTAAGCTATAGCACACACAAGGTACCGAGGCTAGCTACATAACTAATCGAGATACTCAAGTAACGCAACTACAAGAGCTACACTACTCGACTATTAGAGCTATTACTACTCCCTGTTGAGGTGAGTCCTTTTAGACTACTTCATGAGCTTCACGAGCATACAAGGTCGGCTCTCAATGTGGGCACTCATGTAGAAGCCAGCGTGTCACAAAGGCACTCTCTATGCCTCTTTGATTTCAACAGAGTTGCTCTTCACGAACTTTGATTAAGAAATAGTAGTTGTAGCCAAGCATCAAATTTAAATTCTACTTAAAGCCACCACCCTAAAATGTATATATGTTCAACATACCAAGCATGAAAAAATAATTTGGTGTGTGTAGGAGTATATATATTCCTACATAAGTGTGTGCACGTGTGTTCATGTGTGTGTGGATGCACGCACATGCATGTGTTCGCGTGTGTGCACGCGCTGTGTGTGTCTCGTGTCCGAGCATGCATGCACGCGCTTGTGTGAAGCATTATTGTATCTATGAGCCAAAACCATATCAAATAATCTTTTTGTGTGTTGGTTCCGGTTGAGTGATTGTCTTTGCGGTTAGTACCATAAGTGGTTGTCCCTTTTGCCCCTCTTATAGGTGGGCCTATGCATCATCCTTTCTTTTTCATCTTCCAGCCTCCTCCGCTCCTCGTTGTGCCTCATGTTCCGGCTAGCCCTCCTAGAGTGATGGTTGCAGGTCCAACCCCGTCACCTCTGCCACCGCGTGCAACACCTCCTCGCTCGCCGCCATCATTGACCGTTGAGACCGCCCATCTTGCCTTGGCTAGGCTGGTTCCCACCACCCGAGCGCCGCCGCCACGCATGCCATTCTGCATCTGCTGTTGTAGGCCGCCAACCTTCTTGACCCTACCCCCGCCGTCCTTCTTATCGCCGCCATCGTTGTTGGTGTTCCCCTTGATCTGAACCGGGATCTCGTTCCCGCCACCACCCTTCTTGTCGCCACCGGCAGTGGCCGGCGACATGCCCATGGGCTTCATCATCATTCTAGGGTCGTCGTCAAGGCCGTTGTCCTCAAAATCCTTGTCGTCGAATTCGTCGAACTCACTGCCGTCGTCTCGAACTCATCCTCCCCATGGAGGTTGAACTTGACGGTCTTGGTGTCCTTGGCCGCCGGTTGCACCTGCGCATCGCGCCGGAATGACATCGGATCGGCATTGGCATCTTGCTGCTGCCCATGCCATGAGCTCCGGTGGGAACTTCATCCCCTTCATCTGCGTCTGTTGCTGCATCTACATCAACTACTAGAGCTACGGCGACAACGCCACCATCTTCTTGTCCTTCGTGTCGCCACCACCATCGCTTGCTCCACCCTTGGGTTGCTTCTGTTGGCCTTGGCCCTTATTGCCGGTGTCCTTGGGCTGCTACTTCTAACCCTTGCGCCCGCCATCCTTGGGATGCTGCTGCTGGCCCTTCCCACCACCGCCGGCGCTGGCGTCGCCAAGCGGCAGCTTCTGGTGCTGGGTAAAACTAGCTTCGACGAACAACAACTAAGTGATAGGAAAGCAAGCGCAAAACATGTATTTGTGAAAAATAACTGATATCCTAAGATTACTTTAATTAATGGAGATAATGGTTGTGGTATAGAAAGAACAAAAAACATAAAAACCATGGTGTAAAGATCACAACAACTTTTTCAGTGGTTGATATGGAGTTTGGATCTTTTATAATGGCTTGTAGGGAATTGGACTCTATTGTATATATGTATGTATATAACTAATTAAGGCCTCTCTCTCTCATGTGTGTAGGAGTATTATATCTATGAGAGAGCCATATCAAATCTCCATTTTATTTGTGGCGGTGTGGTTATGTTTTGTGTTTGCTGTTGTACCCTAGGTTTTTGTGTGTATACACTTGCGTTGTGCATGTGCGCTTGAGTGTGTTGTGTGTAAAAATGATTTTTTTACACAAACACTAGTTAGACAATTAACAAAAATGTAACTATTATCACAGAACAAACACCTATGAGGGAATAACAATTACTGATCAAGTTCGATGAAAATGAAATACGGAATCATAATAAATGGAATAAGAGAATTCTTAGTAAGTTAGTTTTGTCAAATCCTCTTGAAAACACATCAAATATACGAGATGACAAAGACATATTAGCAAGGAATATGATGCAAGTATTATTACTTTGTAGATACATGATGTTGCCATAATTTTATAGAGTGCAATATCCTGGGATAACAAGGGAATATGTCACTCTATGTTGACATGTACAACATGTGTAGCGATACATTAGAATTTTTTATAACCTTGAAGGTGATATAGCATAGGTGTTATCCTCATGCCTAGTACGAGGGTAGTGGGCTCATGGATTGTACAACAAGTGGAATATCCAGGGATAACAAGGGAATATGTCAGTCTATGTTGACATGTACAACATGTGTAGCGATACCTTAGAATTTTAGATAACCTTGAGGGTGATATAACATAGGTGTTATCCTCATGCCTATACAAGGGCTGTGGACTCATGGCTTCTCTCCATATATGTGGGTATAATCTTAAGAAGGAGCTTATGTCATTGGGACAAAAACATGAAAAGTTGAGATTTTATGGTTGATGGACTTCAATTTGGAAACAATAGTCTCGGCCAAGCATGAAATATAATTGAAATCTTACCTAATTTATATATACGTTCAATGTACCATGTGTAAAAATGATTTTTGTGTGTGTGTGTTTATATGTGTGTGCGCGCGTGAGCGTGCTGTGTATGAAAATGATTATTCTGACAAGGAAATATTAGCTTCGTTAGACCATTAGCCATTGATCTGGTTCTAGGATCGATAAGATTTGGCCGGATGGGACTCCGGCCAGGAGGAATATCCGTAGCTCAATCCAAATATTCGCACCGAGTTCCATTCCTAAGTGATTTTACTAGGTTTTAGCAGAGTGCTTACATGAAATTTAAAACCACAACAAAAGTCAATCTTCTTGGCATCTGACAAAAGATGCAGCTGCATCATTAGTGCTAACACAACACATACTACTTACATACAACAACTAGCAAATGCCAACCCGGCCTATTGGCATCTATCAAAATATGTACTTCCGTGGGCACGAGTTATTTACAGGACTTCAAACTGAAACTACAATCTAATAGTCGCACAAATGATGAAAAGGCTCATCGTCATCGACATCGGAATTGTAGATCATTTCATCTTCATCATTGTCATTGTCCACCAGCATCATTGGGATACGTCCGTCGTTTTCTGCCATAGTCGGTGCATCCCCTACAAATAGGAAACAAAATTTGAATTTGTACAATGATGCTAAAATGGAGACGTTAGAAAAATAAAACATTAAGTCCTCACATGAGCGACACTTCATAGTCCCATGCACGACTTCGGCCCTAGCGGCCTCCTCCTTGGCCCTCCTCTAGAAAAGGCCTTCTCTCTCACACCCTCCTTCTTGAGCCAGTCGTACCTCTCCTTGGTTTCTCGCCTAAACTTTAGCAAATCAGATTCGCCAAAGAACCATGAAAGGGGTCGACCATGCTCCTGAGCAAAGTCTGCGTCAATCCTCTCGCGAGTCTTCATTGATGGCAACGTGACTTTGTACATTTTCATAATATCTTTCTTCTCCTCCTCCGACAGCCATAGCTTCTTTTTTTTTTTTTTCGAGAGGCGAATGTACCTTCAACCTCTCTACTACAGCTCCACGACCAGTGAAATCCTCCCATTTGCATGCCCTTCCCTCCTAACCAGAATAAGGGAGTAAAGGCACCACCTTGGAGTTGCATGGGTCTACAACGTGATCAAGTGTCAAGGGACGCTTCAATTGGCACGTGTTGTAAGCACGACCGGTTGACTCCGGATGCCTTGATTGCTTCACAAAGGCCGGTAGACCACAATCACATAAAGGTGTAGGTAATGCTGGTAGGAAAGGGCCAAATGCACAATGATCTTTTGGATAACCCAAACACAGTTTATGGCACCGAGCCGCCATCGAACGTGCCAACCAAGTAGACAACAGAGACTATTACAAACCATTTGAAAAATATACATGAACCCTAATGCAGCGTACAGTACACATATGATTCAGGATTTCATCACTCATCGTCGACAACACCCTACACATCACAAAAATTATGCATCTGATCCCAATATAGTAGGCATTGTTTTAGTTTTTCTAGGTGCGTAACTTTATCTATGCACATGTGTCTAGAAAAGTTAGAATGAATTATAATTAGGAACATGAGCAGTGAACAATAATTGATATAATGACTCAGATTGTGATACGCAATAACAATCCTAACAACCTTCCTGTGGATGTACACATAGACTATACACTAAGTGACACCACATTTTGTTTTGCGATAATCCGATGTTGTCAGGAAAAAATCCGATGTTACTGTGTATGATACACATAGATTATACTCTAATTGATAGTACATAATAATTGATATAATCCAATGTTAGTCAGAAAAAACGAACCTAAGAACCTTACTGTGGATGATATAAAGAGATTCACAAAGAAAAATATTATACTCTAATTACCTCGGAGGAACATAAATCCAGAATTTAACTACGAAACAGGACAAGCTTTCGAGACAAAATTACTCTAGAGCTGTATCAAGTTATTACAGGCATGTTCCCTGTTCATGATTCAGAGAGAGTGCGCATCACTGGAAAGGGTAAGACACCGTGATTTTTCTTTAAAGTAGTCCACGCATTAGCATGTCTGTCGCTGTATTGGTGTACTTAGTAGCAGGTGGCGGCATTCTAAAGCCAACCAAAATGAAGAAACAGAGCAATAGGATTCTGCTACAAAATGGAACCAGTGCTTCTCAGTTCACATCTGAGGCCGGTTCCCAAGCATCTGACCGACCAAATTAGTCACCTGAAAAGAAAGACCCGAAAGATAGGGGTTAATATGGTGAGACACAAACCAGCAAACATCACATATCAAATGGGAGAATTATTGCCAGTATAGCTAATAATATGAGGAGAGGTAAAAGTAGACCGAAATTGACATGGGGGAGGCAATAAAAAGAGATTTGAAAGCTTGGGATATACCTAGAGATCTATGTTTGAATAGAAGTGCTTGGAAAGCAGCTATTGATGACTAGGGGCTCTTGGTGGGTTTCAACTCTAGCCTACCCCAACTTATTTGGGACTGACAGGCTTTGTTGTTGTATCAACATGGGTAATCGGGCATAGGTGGAGCAGCAGGAAAACTATTGTGCTATGGAATAAGCAGAACTATAAATCTGCAAGTGGCACTGTTCCTTTAGATATATAAAGTGAAGATTACGGCATCAAGATCACCATGCTAAAGAAAAAACATAGATCGAGCATATCTCCAGGCATCTGCGGTCTGTGAATGGATATCACAAACTATTTGTTCATAATAAGCAGGTGCTGAGGTACACTAGAAATACATCACTCTTTTCCAACCTAAAGTAGGAAAGACAACATCAAGGAAAACTTTTTTTGACAAATTCAATCAGTGCACAGTCAAGTTATGATATACTCCATAGTCTAGGAATAAGCATAAAAATGAATCCGCAAAGGCCAAAGAGAAAGGGTATCAACAAACATGCCTGCCAATACTTTGAAACACATCGATCAATGCAACTGTTCTCACCCATATTGAGCTCAGCTTCTTTATACCTGAAATAAAACGAAAAAACAGGAAAAAAAATTCATAGTTCAATCTCACAGATGATAGATCCTTCTTGGCTATCAATTAACACGCCGTGAGAAGTTCCAAGCTTGAGGTGTAATTATTGCAGCTTAGTTAAATTATTTGGTGATTACCCATATATAACATCATAGAGCGTTATTTGTTACATAGAAATAAGGATGTGCCAACAGGACTACAAATAATAGATTTTAAAAAATAAGCTGATCATATCTGTACCTTTTCTCAATGCACTTGTCGAAACAGGTCTGTGTAAGCCTGTATAAAGCATAAAGACACTGTCAGAACAAGCATAAATAAATCAAAAGAAACCTAAATGATTCAAGGCCTGGATTGAGAGGAGTGATATAATATAGAGTAGACATGTCCAACTGTTGAGTTGTTAATTAACATAAACAACACACACATTTCGGACGCCCAGGAAAACCCTAAGATTACATTAAAGATTAGCATTTCAGATAAGAGGTCTTTGGAAGATTCAAGCCTAATTGTATCAGGACTTGCATGACTATTTAGGAAAAGCCACCACATTCACCTTTTCTTGGAACATATTCAATTCCTTCAGTTAGTTGGAAATGAGGAAACTAAAGATTGCATTATGAATTAGTAAAGCATCTATGCTGAGTGCTAACACCCATCTCTTTGCTGAATTAGCAATCTCCAATTGCAACCAAAATGGTAGCCACCAACGGTCTACTTGTTACGAATTAATGATCTCAATGAAGCAAGATGCATGTCACTCACCTATTGAAAAGATCAACCCTGTACTCCATCTCCTTCTCCGCCATCCCAAACATCTGTACGGTGAACGGCGCACAGCACCAATCTTAGCAAGAGCAGCAAATCCAGAAACCGAAACCCGAAAAGGAGGATCAAAGTGCGACAACCTACCTGCTCCTTCTCCAAGTTGGTCGGCCCGCCTTTCCCAGCCATTGCCGCACCTCTCCTGCAAAGAACAGAGCGAAGCAACAGAATAGAATCTCAGAACAACACGTCAGGAGTGGAGCTGAGAAGCAACACGAGAAGCAGACCCTCACGGGGGAAGAGAACGAAGGCCGGGGATGAGCAGCCGCGCCTTCGCCCCACTCGCCAAGTCTAGCTAGGGTTTTGCTCTCTCCTTCCTTGCCGGCGGCGGAGGAAGCAAACACAGACGAGAGCAGGCGCGCCTCCTCACATGGGCCGCACCCCGAATGGGCCAACTCACTGACAGAAGGGCCCACTTGTAAGCCCCCGCCTTATTTTGTGGCCCGCAAGCCAGCGTCGTCCTAAATCCTGATGGGCCTCGAGGCCCAAATGTACTCACTTACAACTGGGGTCCACGAGTAATGCCAGAACGTTTTAATCGTCTTCTTCCAAAATCCAAACCGCTCGCTTCTCACCGAAGACTCGAAGAGGCCATTAGCCATGAGCAGCTTGGCTTATCCGCTCTTCCGGCTCCCGTGCTGCTGCTCCCACGCGGTGGCGCCGGCGTCTCGGATACCCGCACCTGTGTGCCTATCTGCTTCGGCTTCCGCGTATGCAGGGGGCGAGCTGATGGCGCGGGAATAGCGAGCGCAGCGTCGGGATCGGCGGGAGCTGCGTGCGACGGACTGGAAGGAGGAGGTGCAGGACCGGCTGATCCACGAGCCGGCGCGGCGGCGGAAGAAGCCTCCTAAGCGGTCGTGGAGGGAGGATCTCAACCTCGACCTCCTCGCCGAGCTGGGGCCGCAGTGGTGGCTCGTGCGCGTCTCCATGGCGCCCGGCACCGACTACGTCGACCTCCTCACTAAGGCCATCTCACGACGCTACCCGGAAGTCACCTTCAAGGTCTCACTTCCTCCTGTCCTTGATGGTTAGTTTTGTTGGCTTGATTGCGTTCGTGCCGCCCGAATTAAGCACTGCCCTGACGAGCATTTAATTTTTAGGCTGTTGCGTATTCATACAGATTATGTTATGAGCGTCGTATTCGTACAGATTATGTTATGAGCAACATCACGTTGCAGTATTCTTGCGGCTTATATAATTTCATACCTAACATGTGAATCTTAGATTACTATGTTGAAAGAGATTGAGGATATATATATAAACTGTGAAACTGTACTTATGTTCTTACAAACTTGTAACTGTGAGTCTGTGACTCTCTTACTTGGACAGTATAATCACTGTGACAAGAAAATCTACATTAAGATTACTGACTGTCAATGCTTAATTGTAGCAAGACTTGGATTAAGAGATCTAGTACGAATCTGAATACTGACAATGAAGTTCTCCTGATTACCGTTCCTCATAGCCATATAGGAAATGGTTTAGTACTAGTCCATCTGAATGACTTCACTAGTTCACTTGCATACCATTTTCTTTTCAGCATTTTATTTCTCACAAAAGTACCTGCAGATTTACAATCCATCCATCCAAGTAAAGAGGAGATTGAAAAGTGGTGCAATCAGTGTTAATCCAAGCCTCTGCATCCTGGGTTGGTCTTTCTGCATTGTACCTTAAACAAGGAGCTTCATGACTTCATCAGAGACACAGAGGGTTGTTATGGCTTTATTGGAGCTACAGTTGGTTCAATGTGAGTACCTCACTCAGTTCTTTCCATTCCTTCACTTTTGCTCCTCTTTTGTTGACACGTTGTTTTATTGGCATTGTTATGATTCTTGTTTTTAGGTGGCTATTTTCATATTCGTTTTTTGAAATATCCAGTAGTACTTGACCTTAGACAGCATCTCATCCTGTAAATATTTTGAAGAAAGACTTGAAACCATAGCGGTTTCTATGGATATGTGTAATGTAACTATGTCCAAATAAAATATATGCCATCCTTCAACATACTTCTCCAATTACCAGGATATTCTTTGGCCAGAACAACGATGACCACAGTATTTTGTCTAACATAATTGTAACAAAGGCATGTGAAGTATCCTAATCACGACATTTATATACTGCTAGTACATTAATACTGTAGGTCTATAGCAGATCATATCTCTTTATCTCTTCTGTGATCACTGATCAGTGATCCGTTATTCAGTTTTTCTGATTTGTACTTCTTTACCTATCTTACTATGAAGCAAGAGGCGGATTAAAAAGCCAAAACCTATTCCAATTGATGAAGTTGAATCAATTATTAGAGAAGAGAAGGAGAAACAAGAGAGAGTTGACAGAGAATTTGAGGAAATGGAGAATATGGGAAATGTTGAACCTTTCAGTAAACCTGTTGAGGAATCTGAACTTATGTTAATGAATAAGATCAAGATGCAGTTTAAGAAATCATCCTCAGATGGTGGCACTAGACACAGTGCTTTTTCGCCTGGTGCAACTGTTCATGTTCTCTCTGGGCCTTTTGAAGACTTCACTGGTTCCATCCTGGAAGTGAATCGCAAAAACAAGAAGGTTGGGCTGATTACAAATTTATCTTAGTGAACTAGTTGTACGATTATTTTGCAATACCTTTTATTCTGGTATTGTTTGGTTTTCTAAGAAGTGTTACCTCTCACAGGCCACTGTCCAGTTGATACTTTTTGGGAAAGAGAGCTTTGTGGATCTTGATTTTGATCAAATTGAGGCAATTGAAGTGGATGCCAGTGATAGTAAACTATGAGGTCTGAAAACGCTTCTAAATCCTCGAGTTTGACTTTGGCAAGCATGCTATGGTAGTAGGCTAACAAAAGAAACGATAGATCTAGAGCATGTTTTTTTTTCACCTGTTAGCCAAAGATTGTATAGTAGAACATGCTGTCACTATTATTGCACTCTCTGATTTGTGCTCCGCCATTATGATATAAGTAACTTTTCCATTGTTTGACAAAATTCAGGATTCCATCACATATCAAATTGTTTCTGTTTAGGAGATTATCTGAGTTCCTCCATACTTTAGATGCAGCAGAGGAAATTTTCGAATTTGTGGCTTTCTGCTACAGTGTCTCTCTTTATGCTTAATGACTGAACAGGCATCTTGTGTTTATGTATCACAGTACCGATAACTTTTATCGACAACTCCAGATCTCCAGCTGGGCCTGAGTGAATGAAGCAGGAACTTCAGTGGGTGGACAGTGGACCGTTGAAGACCCAGTTATCAGCAAGAGAAACAGTTAGCACATCTGCACATAAGCTGCCGTCAAAATTAACCAGTAAGTTCTGAATTCACTAGCATGTGTTCTATAACCTTATTCCATTGAAATTGATTTCCATTGTTCTTATTTTCTTTTTGTCAGGGGTTACTGAAATGCAAGTTTATAAACAATGAGGATGCTGAAGTTGAGAATACTCACTGACTTCCACTAGGTTGTTAACATTTTGCTCAAATGCAGAAAGTAATATTTCAATTTTGTCAGTCCCTTAGGCCATTCATTTCATACTTAATCTTCCTGTATTCATTTATAAATTAGTTAAAATCGAAATAGAAATTCGAATTTGTCTGAGATTGTTTTTCCCTTGAGTACTTGGATCACCAGCCACTTTTCAATTATTACGCGCTGTGCACGCAGCAACCCGGGGCTTCGTTGGCTTGCTTCGGTTCCTGAACTATGGCAGACACCAGACAGAGATGGCTTTGTGGAAAGAATACCCAGCTTAATTGTTTGTGCCAAAAGCTTTTGATTAGGAACAAGACAATCTTCCTCCTTTTGCTTTTCGCCTTCCGGACAGCTTCCACAGATCTGCCCTCAAACAAGATCCAGTACTGGTAACTGATTTATACTATTAGATACGAAAAATATCGTATCATGACTTAAGTCTGGCGGGAGAAAAATAAAAATAAAAAAGAAAATAGCTTGGGTGTACGTGCACAGAGTGGGGTGGTCCTGGGGACCTGTGCGAGACTACTGCTGCATAACTCGCTAGCGAGATGCATTTTTACGTTCTCTTGCCTCCACGTCAACAAATAGCTAGTGAAATCGTCAACCGTTGGAGTTGGCCTAATGTTCAGACAAAATATGCATTCCCTTCACCCGAACTGCTCTATCATGGCCATAATTGCAGTAATTTTCGGACAGATTACGTGATTGCCATGTCAACATCCTGAAAATGTCCCCTGTCCCCTGCTCCTGCAACTGCAAGAGGAGAATTGTACTCTAGCAGCGAGCGCCAGAGCAGCAAGCACAGTCACCATGAATATTGAGGCCTGTTTAGTCCCCCAATTCCTGAATTTAACAATATGTAAAAAAAAGATTTCATCATCACATCAAATTTGTGTGGTACATGTATAAAGTATTAAATGTTGATGAAATTAAAAACTAATTGTACAATTTAGTTTTACTTTGCGAGACGAACGTTTTGAGCATAATTAGTCAACGGTTGGATAATTATTATCAAATAAAAACAAACGGTACAGTAGCTACAGTACCGCCGGAAATTCGGCGGCGCCCGATTCGGTGGCCGAACTAAACGAGGCCTGAATGCCCTTTTCTGAGGAGGGCAGACCGGCAGAGAGTGGTCCTGGAAGCTGGAACGCGCTCTGCACTGTTGAACTGAATTCCATATGAATGAGTGCCACTGCAAGTCTGCAGCTACCCCTCGCTACAGAGGCGTTGTTTAGATCGTAAATTTTTACAATCTAGATATTATAGTACGTTTCGTTTGTATTTGACAAGCTTTATCCGATCATGAACTAACTAGGCAAAAGATTCGTCTCGTGATTTACAACCAAACTGTGCAATTAATTATTTTTTTTACCTACATTTAATGCTCTATACATGCCTCCAAATATTGATGTGATGAAGAGAGTGAAAAAACTTAAAATTTGGAGATGATCTAAACAAGGCCAAAGTCCATGGCTGCATCCTACTATGATCAAATCATGAACAGGTGATGATTACCAAACGATGATGATACGAGAATTCAATTCAAAGTCCTCTTATGGCTGCATCCTACTATGATCAAATCATGAACAGGTGATGATTACCAAACGATGATGATACGAGAATTCAATTCAAAGTCCTCTTACACATGGGTGATTACTTTACTTGAGAGAGAACGGCAATCAGATTAACCAGCAGAAGTAAAAAAAAATCAACGGAGTCACCAGTACAGCGCTACTACCACTACGACTGTTCTTCATGCAGCAGCTACTCCAGGTCCAGCTCCAGCTCCAGCTCCAGCTCCAGCTCCAGCAGGGCGCATTGGCACCCACCAACAACTCTGTCGGAGGAGGTGATCCGTGGACCGTGGCGCCGCGCCATGCATCGGTCTGTCACGGTCGGCCACCACGCGGCACCAGGTAGACCCGGGCGCGCACGACGGCGCCGTTCCCCAGCCGGAACCCGGGCGCGACCGCGAACCCGACGACCATGCCTGCGCCGGCGTGCGGGGGCGCGCCGGTCACGCTCTCCATGTACTCCTGGTGGAACTCCGCGCCGCGGGCGGCCTCGAAGTGGCTGGGCGGCGGCTCCAGCGCGAAGGCCAGCAGGTGCAGCAACCACACGGCCTTGGCCGCGCGCAGGAACTCCCCGTAGAAGGGCGTCCGCGGGTGCGCGCCGGCGTTGACCACCCTCCGGTGCCCGCCGTCGCCCAGGACGGCCTCCTCCACGCGCGGCGGCAGGAGCGCTGTGAACTTGGCGGCGGCGTAGCGGCCGAAGGCGCAGGTCGGGAGCACGCCCAGCAGCTCCGCGGGCTCCATCCCGCGCATGTCGCGGAACTGCGCGTACCGCTCCCGCCGGAATGCGGCGGGGTCCAGCAGCGACGAGAGGGAGCCGTCCAGGTAGAAGGACTCGTGCTCGAAGCCGCCGAGGAGGACGCGCGTGACGTGCGCCTCTAGCGCGTGCTTGGCCAGCTGCGGGGAGGACACCGGGATCTTGGTGAGCGACCGGGTGGCCGCCGCGAGCTCCAGCCCCGCCGCGCGTATCAGGTGGGCGAGGTGCCCCGCGAACGCCCGCGTCGCCGCGCGGGCCTGCTCAGCACAGGAGGTGAACAGCTCCGCCGTCGGCGCGCCGCCGGGGCCGTTCTGCTTGGAGAGCGGGTGGTGGTGGTGGCGCCCGTTACGGCGGCTGGTGGCCGCCGCGAGCTTCTCCTTGAGCCCGTCCAGCTCGGCCTGCTTGGATTGGAGCTGGCGCTGGAGGTCGTCGAGCGCCGCCTCGTACGGCGCCACGGCCTCGCGGAGAGGAGGCGCGGAAGGGTTCGGGGGCGGAATGTGGCCCGCGGCGGCGGAACGGCGGAAGCGGTCGCGGAGGCGCGCGAGGTGGCGGAGCTCGGCGACGACGGCGGCGTCCGCCGCGCGCATCTTGTCGGGGTCCCAGGGGCAGTGCGCGCCCTGGAGCGCGGCGTAGGCGCGGCGCACCCCGGAGACGGCGTCGAACACCTCCGCCATCAGCGCGTCCGCGTCGCGGGCGCGCTCGGCGCCCTTGGCCGCGGCGGCCAGCCTCTCCTTCTCCTGCTCCCCCTCCTCCCAGATCTTGAGCTTCTCCTCCTCCTCCTCCCCCTCCTCTTCCTCGATTTCCTCCGCCTCCGCAGCGGACGGGGACCGCCGGCATTTCTCGCTGCTGGAGACGGCGTCGGCGAAGGGGTCGTCGTCGTCGTCGTCCAGGTCGCTATCGACGGAGTCGCGGAGGGTGTAGTTGCAGGGCAGGCGGTTGGAGAGGCAGGAGGAGGCGACGCGGTGGATGAGGTCGCCGACGGTGACCGGCTTGGTCGCCATTCCTCGGCGCTGCGACCGAGCCTTCCCCCTGCTTGCTTTGAGTGGGGGTGAGTGATCGGCGTGGGGGAGTGGGAGAGCGGGGCGGAAAAGATGCCGTCCAAAACGGAACGGGTGTGAGGGTGGGTCGTGGATTTAAGAGGCCAGCCCGACAACAGGGAAGCCAAATCCAGGAGGCAGATGCGATGCCCTGTGGAACGCAGCGTCGGGTAGAACCAGACAAGGTTGTTTTTTTTTTTTTTTTTTTGCTAATAAGTGAAGCTAGTACTGATTTATTACGAGAGAAAAATATTATTGATCGGCTGATAATGACTGACACCAACGAACGAACAGGCTAAAAAAGCACTGAGCTATACTAACATGCACCATCAATTCTCGTCTGAATTAAAAATGCTTGCTAAATCCTCATAAAACGTGCAGTGCTAGTTTAACGAGAGATCTTTCTTTTAGGCTCTTTGATAGTAGGAGAAGCCAGAACCCGCTTCACCTGCGCAATGAAAAAGGGCTTATATGGTACTATTTCGTTTATGAAGTCTATTCCCGTAGATTAATTTAACAGGGCCTTTTATCATAAGTTATGGAGAAGTAAAAGCTAAAGCTGCTCAAAAACCCGGATCCTAACTAATTGCCGTGTTTTCACGTTTCACAACCTTTGGAATAAATAAAACGTACAATCTCTGGCTCTGTTCGCTCGAGCTTATAAGTCAAAATCAGTCTTACTTTTTCAGCTATAAAATAGTATTTTCCTCTCGTAATAAATCAGAATCAACCGTGTCAGCGATATTCCAGCCGAACAGATCCTCTGCTTTATCACGGTGCGAGCCTTGTCACAACCACGAGCGATGTGCAATGAGCCAATGACTTCTAGCAAGGAGGTGCTCTAGGCCTCGTTTACTTCGGCCACTGAATCGGCGCCGCCAAATTTCCGGCGGTACTGTAGCTACAATATCGTTTTATTTTTATTTGGTAATAATTATTTAATCGTTGACTAATTAGGCTCAAAACGTTCGTCTCGCAAAGTACAACTAAACTGTGCAATTAGTTTTTTATTTCATCAACAACCACGAGCGATCTTCTTTTGTGCAATGAGCCAATGACTTCTAGCAAGGAGGTGCTCTAGCATTGTACGTACGGAGTAGCTCTGACTTCTAGATTCTTTAGATTTTTTTTTGCGACAAATACTTTAGCATTTATGCTAGCCCGCATCTACGGTTACGCACGTGGTCTTGTGCCAGATGCTCTACTATCTGGGGTCCTCCTCCATCCTTCGCAGACGGCGACCGTGCGTTGCAATCGCTTGGCTCTCTGATCGCCATTATCAGGTGCCTATTATCACCCGCCTACGATACAATTGTTCATGAAATCGTTGCAAAATTTACTGGTCGGACAACGGCAGGTAAATCTGCCATCTGATCACGATTCAGAAGTTCAGGGTCGTCGGATCTCCTATGCTCGCGGTCACCGCGATCTCGTGGAGAGTTGGGGGCTAATCGAAGATTAGAGTAAATTTCGCTGGCTTCCTCGAACTTCTCGTCTAGATTTGGTACTTCTAAATTGTATATTCAGCTTCCTACATTTATTCCGAGTTTTTACCCATATCTTCATACTTTTAAATTGCGTATTTAACTCCTTAAACTTATCACAAGTTCTTATCTAGGTCCGGTACTTTCGAAATACACGCTCAATTCCCCTGGCCCATCACCTTCTCCGCATTACGTTACATGTGGGCCCACCACACTCGTACGGCCACATTGTGTTTTTCACCTATAGTGGTGTATAGCATAGGGGCGAGGCGTGCGGTGGGATCTCTCGAGAGATGTGTAGACCTAGCTTCCTAGGACTAGGTTGCTTGGCTGCTCTTGTCGTGTTTGCTCTACCACACGTCCTAACCAATGTCTCATCACCGTCGTGGCCCTCCTCGATTCCACTTGATCGCTCTTGCTCCAATTCATCATGGCGTTGACAGCCACCTCATCGCCACCACCGCACTCCTCCCATTGAGTGGGAGTTCATGCTCATTGTTTATATCTTTTTGTACTCAATTTCTCACTATCACAACCTCCTCCCCCCCCTTGGCAATGCCAAGGCCGTTGTTTGCAGCGGAGTGGGTGAGTGTAACTTATGGCATGGTGGCACGACATGCCTGTTCGTTTCGCTAAAATATGGCTTATGTTGCTGCTTATGCTAATTTGTTGTGAGAGAAAAACACTGTTTGTTTGCTGAAAAATGCTGCTGAAGTAGTGCTGAAGAACATGTGGCAACGTGAGTGCAATATCACACAATAATGCAACACAGGAAACATAGGGTAGTAGGGCGAGCATGCTATAGCGCTTGTAGCTACGCAAGGTATTTGAGTGTGCAATTTGCATGGAACGGGTTGAGACAAGAACCTTGAAAATTTAGTGGGTGTTTGGTTCTTCCGTCGTTTTTAAAATTCATATGACATCGAATATTTAGATACTAATAAGAAGCATTAAATATAGATTAATTATAAAATCAATTATATTTGTGAGACGGATTTTTTAAGCCTAATTAATACGTTATTAGCACATGCTTACTGTAGCACCACGCTGTCAAATCATGGATTAATTAGGCTTAAAAGATTCGTTTCGCAAATTAGTCACAAGTTGTACAATTAGTTTCGTAATTAGTCTATATTTAATACTCCATGCATGTGTCAAACATTTAATGTGACAGGAATTTTATGGGCTCAAAAAGAAAACAGGCCCTTAGAAAGAGTAACGTGTAATTTGAATTAATGGGTGCCTCAATGAAACTTGTAACTAAGTTCGAGGACCTGAAATTTGCTTGGAAGATTACTACCACAGCTATAACACGTGACCCCACTGGCGGGCCCACGGCGCCGGACATCGAACCCATCGCCTAGGACCCGTCTGTCTGTCAGTGACCATCCGACCCTGCCTCGAGCTGGTTCGTGCACCCTCGCTCCTGGCTTGGCTTGGCTCCGACCAGGCGACCACTGCCTCCGCCCCGTGCCGCCTAGTCGCACTCGCGCACCGCGCGAGATCCACCTTCCCCCGCGCCCGCCTCCGGCACTCCGGCGCGGCTGCGTGAACCCTGCCCTACGGAGGGGCTGGGGTCTGGCTTACCCGCAGATGCGTCCCCTTCTGGCCCTCGCCGCCGCGTGCGCCCTCCTCGTGGCCGCCGGCGCCGCGGCGGCGGAGGAGGCGAAGAACTCCACCAACAAGTTCCGGCAGCGCGAGGCGAGCGATGACATGCTCGCCTACCCCCACCTGTGAGCACCGCGCGCTTCTCCCAAAATCCCCTCCCTCCCTTCCCTCCGCGATTTACGAGCCGCTCTAGATTTGGAGTAGCTGCTGGATCCTTAGAGGTTTGGAGCGATCGGATGGTCCCTGTGGGTTCACGTGGGGGCGTTGCGACTGATGAGATTAACGAGCCTTTGGGTGCCGCTGGTATTGATTTTGGCATTGGATTTGTCTACCTGTTTGTCGATCGTTGAGTGCCGCAGCCTCAGTTTCGCATTTGGTTTATTGAGGTTAGGGGGTTTAAGCACCAGTGGTATAGTGAATTTGAAAATGAAAGTGAACAACTGTTGTTTGGTTTGACCATTATGGTCGCTTTTGAATAGCTTGAAATTGCTGCTACTTCTGTTCATATTCCAAAAGAGATAGCAACTACTGTGGTCCTCCAACGAGATTTATAAAGTAGAGCTGCCAAAGTGAAACATTTTTTTTTAATGTAAGGCTCACACTATGACCACAGCCTAATCAGAGCTGATCTTATAAACTGGTTGAAGTAAGTGTGGGTAATCTGAGTATCACTTAATTTTTTTGGATTGATCATGTCTGAACCTGTGGCAACTGCAAGCATCTGTTCTACTAGTAGTATGTTCTCGTACAGGTCATCTCAGCGATTATACTATTAGTGCTGACACTCTGACAGAGATTTACCTGCATTTAATTGATACTTGCTGCATGGCACATGGAAATCTGATAAAAGCCAAATAATGAGCAAACTATGTACTAGTTGTTTGATGCAAGGCCTATTCTTTTTTTTTTTTGGGTTCATATGTCATAGGAATTAGACCTTCTATGCATTCAACTAATTTAAGCTAAGTTAACATCTGCAATAGTGAACTTAGGATGTAAGTTCAATTATGCTTGTTGGTAAATTTTTGACACATGTCTAAGTACTATCTCAATTGAAACCACGCCTTTAAAGTCAGTTAAGTAATAGTGGTCATCCACATGAATTGCTTAATGCACCCAATAAGTTTATCTATACATTGTCTTGTAGAGATGAAGATGCTTTATTGCAAACCAAATGTCCAAAGCATGTGGAGCTGAGATGGCAGACTGAAGTTAGTTCCAGCATTTATGCAACTCCTTTGGTCGCTGATATCAACAGGTATTTGTCACTTAATTTGGCGTCTGTCTTTAGCATCACACCAATTCTGGTTATCTGTGTCAGAGATCTTTCTCTCTATCTTCTGCTGTTTCTGTACACATTAATCATTTTATGTCTTTTATTTGTTGCTCATGTGAGGATATTGTGTCGTGCATGAAACACTGTCAACTTCACAACAAGCATTCTTTAACTATTAGTGTTTTATGCAACATTGAATGAGTACAGCATTGCCATTACCAACACTAGACCATATGGTTTGTTGTATTTATATATGCAGTTTTCACAAAGTTGATTTTCAAAAGGTCAAGCACATATGTTTCCATTCTTTCTATTAGTATTTTAATGAATTTCCCTGCATAAGATTTCATAATAGACACTGTTAATGAATCTTTTTCTGTTGTGTAGTGATGGAAAATTGGAAGTAGTGGTGCCATCATTTGTTCATTACTTAGAAGTTCTTGAAGGCACTGATGGAGACAAAGTGCCAGGTGTTGTTTCATTGCCATTTTTTATTCTTAGTTCTTCCTTACAGATTCTGAAAAGAAGTCTCATCGGTACCTAATTATTGTCTGTGATGTTGTAATACCCTTTTAGCTCCTGAAAGAGTTTTGAGA